GAAGGGGAAGGAGGAAGGAGGAGAGGTTGTGGGTTAGAGGTAGGAAGGAAAGGTAAGTGGATGAGGGCGGAGGCAGGTCGGGAACCTCTGAGCGTTTCTGATAATGTATTGAATTGGATTGTTTTTTTTGTGTATGTTTGTGTTATAAATGCATCATATTACTTAATGTTCAATTATAAAAATTAATAAAATTTTCTTTTAAAAAAATATATATTTCTCACCAAAATCATAAATTTGTTTAGTCGCAATAGTACTTTCTTAAATTATTCCTGGTCCAGTCTTCTTGCATATAGACAACCCACAAGTATGCAACAGACTAGGGTTTGGAGAAAAATGATCTGGGTTAAATTTGTTTTTGTTTTACTTTACATACCAGTGTTGTCTTCACAGTTCATCATCCCATTTCTGCAGTGGCTGTGGAAAAATTGCAATAAATAAATAAAAATTAAAACATTTTTTTAAAAAGTTTGAAATCTAACCTTATGTCTCTTGGAACAAACAAAAAATCATCAGTTGTTTTCACAAATAACTTTTAAAACAATTCTTGTGCTAGACTATAGATTACATTGGACAACATTTTTTTTAAAAATGTTGGTGATTATGATAGACCCCTTCAAACTGAACACAAATATACTTTGTATGATGACTGTATCATGTAGGAATCTTGAGAAATATGAAATTAACTTTTAATGACTGACGTGTACTTAATCATATAATGTTTCCAAAACACTGAGTTCAACAGGACCAAAAGTGTTTTGCTGCTGATTTTCATTTGTACTCAGTGTCTGATGCATCTTCCTGTAATGCCACGCAGAGTTACTTGGTTGAAATGGGCAGTCATAGAAACTAACTAGACAGACAGACAGACAGACAGACAGACAGACAGACAGACAGACAGACAGACAGACAATCAGCATTGATGGATTCCGGTTGCCCTGGTGCCATTTCCCCATTATGGCAACTTTCACCATATTCATCACTGACTGCATCTAGATTTTTGGTAAAGAAGTCCAAGTGTGAATGCAGATCGTTGCTTTAAAGATGCTTGGCAATAATTTTGACTTCGGCTGTCAGTCGCTTAGTGACGAGCCATATTGCTATGGCCGGTCTTTCCCTTGCCGGTTTGGAGAACTGCCCTGGATCAAGCGGAAGGGCTACCACCCTACCGCGATCAAGTGGGGGTCCCCTCATTTCTCGTCGCCCCTACAGGGTGACTTTTTACCCTTTCCAGGGTCCCCCAGCGGAATGAAATCAGACACTGAAGACGGAGCTCGCCTCCATGTGTCTGCAGGAGCCGCAATGGCAAACCGGAAGTTTTGCAGAGTCGTTACTTTTAGAGGTCCACAGATATTCCAGTTGTACTTGATGTACTGAATGTGTTTCAACAACATTCCATGTTCTTGTATGTTTCTTTCATGTGTATAGCATAGCCAATGAAAGGTGCCCTGGTGTCGTCATGTAAAAACAGATTTCTATAAACATATATAATAGGTTAAATTACTGATTTTCGGTATTAGCAGCCAAATATCTATAAGATACATACAAAAGTGTTCAGAAAGCAAAATTTTTGTTGTCCAGTGTTATGTGTTAGAATATAAGGTCCATACTTTAAATAGAAAGTGGATATCCTTAATGACAAATATTTCTGAAAATATCTAGCATATTTGAATCATGACAGCATAGTCAATAATAAAAGGAAGTTACAAAAAGTATTTGAGGAGGAAAAAAATGAAGTGGCTGGATTGGGAAGATATTAGATAACTGAACCAGCTGCCATCTTATCTCAGACTCCTCCTACCAGTAATCCCATCCACCTTATGATGAGAAATGGAGGAGAGAATCTTTGCCTTTGATAACAAGATGCCTCATATCAATCCTGCCTTTCTTTCTTTAAAAAAAAGAAAAACAAAAAATTTCTGGAAGAAAATTCAGGGAAGAAGATGGCAATTAAGAAAAATGAGATATAAACAAACAAACAAACAAACAAACAAACTCCAGTCAGTGGAAAATTAAGACATTTGTAAACTTTGATTGGAAACTATCTGAAATATGAGAGTAACTTACCACTTTCCAAAAGATGTGATTATATTTTCTCCAGGGGGATAGTCAATACCATGAAAATAGCAAGGGCATTCATTTCTATAGTGAAAATGAAAAAAAGTACTGAATATTGGTATACAATTTATATGGCTGGAAATATTAAGTGTTGTAAAGAAAACATTACTTCTCTCATACCCACCACTGCTTTCTGTTCAATTACTCAATACATTCGAAATTTATTTTTCAAGTCTGTTTATGTGAAAGCTTGAAGTTTTTTTTCCACTAATCACTTAGATATGAAAACATATAATTATAAAGAAATAATAATTAAACATACTGTGGCACACATCTGTCAGTTTTGATGTTCAGATACATTCCAGAGGGGCAGGTGCAGCCTTCGACACAATAACCATCGCATGCCTCTGGCACGGAGAATGCTCGGCAGCTCCTACCACAGGTAGATACACAAGTACTGTATTCCTTTGTATCTTCACATGAAAGAGCTGCTCAAATGAGAAGAAGAAAACTTCTCATGTTACAAGCCAAATGCACACACATTCACCTGGACATAAGATGCTGTTACCAAATATTATGTATGCTTACTCAG